GCTGAACATTTTGTGCCTTACAATAAAGGAACTTATTTAAATTAAGCTGTATTTGTCTTTTTAACAGGAAAGAACAACTAGCATATAAAAAACAAAACAATAAATCACCAACACATGTATACATAACACAAAACAAGGTTCTTTTAAATGTTGTTTGAAGTAAAATGTTAACTATCCGTATTATATTCACTTCAGATGAATAGTATCAGAAAATGTAAAATAAGAAACCAAAGTATATCAGTAGGTGATTGTCTTTGCCATTGTTTTCATCTAGTCTATACTTTTACAAGAATTAAATTCTTGGTTTTGGTGGGCCACCCCAAGATTTTCAGTGGCCCCATTTGGCCACCCCTATGAAACATTTCTGGAGGCGCCACTGACAGTCACACAGGCAGAGATCCAGGGTGATGCACATGGCTTTCCTACCCAGGAATAAGTGTTTGAAAGGCGGGGAAAGTGTTCCTGCAGCCCCCCATATAACGGTAATAATGATTAGAAATCATTTCCAGGGCAGAAAGCTGTTTTTAAAAGTGAAAAACTATTTTAAACCGTTGAAAAAGCACAAAGTGATTTGAGTGCAGTTCTCATGTGTCATCAGCCAACCTATTTCTGGCCCCTCACAGAGCCCCAAAGGACGGACTAAGCAGCTCCAGCATGTCTCCCTGACATGGGCAAACAGGCTATGTCAGACTTCCATGAAATAGACCGGGAAAACCACCTATTTGTAGCCCCTCACAGAGCCCCAAAGGACGGACTAAGCAGCTCCAGCATGTCTCCCTAACATGCATACTTCTATAACCTCGCACACCGTGAGACCCCCGGGCCCCCGGACTGAAGCACTCCCCCACGGACTAAACCCAGATGATCACACCCTACAGAACCTCATGCCCCTGGTAATCCTAAAAGGGGGATGGATTTTGCGGTGCGTTACCGTCCGCCCACCAGCATCCATATTCGGCCTTCTTCACGGCACCCCCCCTGTGCTGGAGGTTCAAACTTTAACTGTTTTGTCATATTTCGTCTTTCCACGGGTGGGTGCGCCTGGCAAATATGTGTACCCAGACTTAAGCACTCTCACTCTGATTAAACACATAAGGACAACCGGGTAAGATCTTAGTGCCCCTTAGTGCCACTGGTACTCCATGTCGTTAAATGAGCTCCGTATTGCCCTGCAATTTCACATTTGGTGTATTTCCAAAAAGCTGTGAAAATACACCTATCTCCGTCATGTCCTGTAAAATATCATTCTTTGTTTATTTCCATCATTCAGGCAAATACACATATCTTTGTCCGCTCCAGGAGCTTCAAAGTGCAGACTCCTGAGCTCCGTCATGTCCTGCAAAATATAATTCTTCCGACCGCCAAGCACCGGCACGTGGACCCGGGGAGGAGGCCCTCCGATGGCGGGTCAAATTTGCTGATACCACAGCTGACGGCTGGACACTAGCCGTAGAGGAACACCAGGGCAGGACCAGGCAGTTCCGTCTTTGCAGGCAAGCATATGTAGTTGTTACGCAGGATCAAACAGGTAGCCTGTGATGAAGTAGGGTCGACCCTATATCATGTGAAGCCACCGAGCCGTGGTCCCTGAGGGAACTGGTGCCCGGAGCAAGGCCAATTGCTGAATGCCGCAGCCGACTAAGGCCGCTATGCAACAGTGGAGGATTAGAGAAACTGATGTTTTGCCTGGCACTCTGCGGCGAAGTGGGGAGGTTGAACTTCCACCCCGCTGCGGAACCCGTGGTGGTCCCCTGAGTCAGACGGTTCGTCTTGGAAACGGCTTCATATTGGTCCGGCCTGGGAGGTAAGAGACATGCAGGGTTACCCCCACGCAGCACACCCTCCCGGCCATCAGAGTCGAATCCGCAGTTCGGAGGAACCGACAGCCAGAGCACCGGCACGTGGACCGGGGGAGAAGACCCTCCGATGGCGGGTCGCGTTTGCCATTCGATCAGTGAGGTCAGAGGAGAAGAACCCGCAGTTCGGAGGAACCGACCGCCAAAGCACCGGCACGAGGCCCTCCGATGGCGGGTTGCGTTTGCCATTTGATCAGTGAGGTGAGAGGAACGCAGCAAAAATTTACAAAATCCGTTAATGTACGGTCGAGTTGGGGGGGGGGGGGGGGACGGCTGGACAAAGGCCGTCGGGGGTCACCCAGGACCGGGCAGTGCCCCCGGTAGAAGGAACCGGGTGAAACGGGCCAAAACAGAAAGAAAAAGAAAAAGAAAAAGAACCAGACAAAAGGGGTGAAATATAAAAAGTATCCAAAAATAGTGCATCATAATGCGGGTAGAGTCCCCTGACAACTCCCCTCACATTCCTCCAGAGTCAGAAAAAGTCTGAGTTAACTTTTGGAGAACCATGAAAACGGGCCAAAAGTAATCCGAAAATAGTGCATCATAATGCGGGTAGAGTCCCCTGACAACTCCCCTCACATTCCTCCAGAGTCAGAAAAAGTCTGAGTTAACTTTTTGGAGAACCATGAAAACGGGCCAAAAGTATCCGAAAATAGTGCATCATAATGCGGGTAGAGTCCCCTGACAACTCCCCTCACATTCCTCCAGAGTCAGAAAAAGTCTGATGTGACCAATGATTCCATGCATGGAAGGCAAATCTTTGACAGTGAAATCGTGACATTTAGGCTAGCGAAGAAAATTCTACTTTGATAATGGAACCATTCATACAATGTTTGTGATATATCAGAACAGTATTTACAACTTATATTATCAAGCATATACATGTATCTCACTAGATTGTACAAATGTTTTACAGTGCTCGATGTTCATAAAGTAATAAAGACCATTTTCCTGAACCAAACTATGTTTTTACCCTTCAAATAATAATAATATACAAATACTACCAGCATATATTACTTCAGCCATAGACGTCCTTTATTTATTGCCACAGAGCCCCACAGGTTGACTAAGCTTTCATACACCACAGACACATTGAGCCCCACAGGCTGACTTCATATATACGACAGACACATAGAGACCGACATTACTTGTTCACAAATCGACTTAGGTGATGTGCCACAGCATCCTCCTTCGATGATTTTTACCAGGCCTTTATGCGCACCAAGTGTCCCTTTTCTCCTTCTCTGCATGTGTATGACGGTGTTCTGCAAGTTCGGACCTCATGGACGATGCTGATAAACACCTCTCGACTACCCCTACCATGATTTCTCTTCGGAAGTTGTAGCTTTTTGGTGCCTTCACCACATATCCTCTCCAGCAGGCTTCGAGTACTGCAGTTTGAACTGCAGTGCCCCCTTCTTGGTCTGTGCCTGCTCACGGTCGATGTTGTGGTTGTGATCCAATGCAGCGAGGCGAAGGCGTGCCCTGAAAGCTCTCCTCCGTGAACTTCTTGCGCTTTGGAACGTACTTTGTATACAAAGAATGGATGCTCTCCAGCTCGCCAGTATGGATCCCTTCTGTAACCTGCAATTGAACAGAGTGGGTCATGAATGTCAGCATTATTTAGCATTTTTGTTATTACTTAATTGTCCCAGATTGCGAAACTATTGAGTCGAGAGATGCCAGACATGAAATTCTCAAACATCACTATTGAATATCACCCATGGTTGGTGGATATTCTGATATGAATTATACATGTGTTTTGTATTTTTTTTTTTATTACATATTTTCAATTTCATATTTTACTGTTGTTCAGGGGCTACATCCGTTGAATATATTCTCTTTAGATAAATATACTGCTTTGTGGTGAATTTATAAGGCCAGAATATATAAATGAAGAAGGGCAATTAAGACAATACCTTATCTAGTTTTTTCAACAGTCTCTTGTCCATGACCACTTTCTGTAGAGTGCCAAAGGCCTCGGATGAACGCTCC